GCGCGCCCTCCGCGGGGCGGGGTGGGCGGGGCGCGGCGCGGGGCCGACCCGGTCGCTGCAGGGCCCTGGCGGCCCGGATCTCAGCCTTTCTCCGCCGAGCCGAGCCCCACCGAGGCGCGTAACCCTCTCGCCACCGGCGCCCAGCCGAGCGCGCCACCCTGCGCGCGTCCGCCACCTCCCCCTCCCGCCCCCTCCGCCCCGCTTCCCTCTCCCCCGAGCCCGCAGCTCCTCCCACTGCAGCCCCGGTGACCGCGGAGCGCGCTTCACCCCTGACCTCTCACCTCCGCTCGTCCCCTCCCCGCCCAGCTGGTCGCATTGTTGCGGCTTCGTTGCGGCCGACTGGAGGCGGGGGAGAGAGCGAGAGGAGGGAAGGTGTGCGGAGGAGGAGGCAGCCCCCTCCCGCTCCAGACGCCGTGCTGGGGCCTCCAGACCACCCCGCCCGCATCCTGCGCCTGCCAGGCCCGGCCAGGCCCGAGATGTCCGTGGTCCTGACGCCCACGGGGTCTGTCACACTCGCCAAAGCCCCCCTGGTGGTCCGGGTGACCCCTCCGGCCCCTGACAGTGGGTGGGCCTGAACGACGATGAAGCCTCGCTCACCGTTGGCTGGGGACACGCAGGAGGTGCGGCCCTGCCTGGGACCCCTTCCTGGTTCTGCTGTGGTTTCAAGCCTTGCAATGTGACTTCGCCCTTTGTTATGTCTGACCCACCTCCCCACCCTCAGCTCCGCAGGCGGGGTGCTCCCCCAGCGCCTGCCCCGAGAACTTGTTTGCTAAGTGACTGCGAAGCTGCCATGCCCAAAACGTTGGGCACCAACAGCTCTGACTGGCCTCATCCCAACAGCAATTCCCAGATTCATTTGTTTTTAGGTCCAGAACTTCTTAATCTTTAAATTGAGCCTCTCTTTGTTTTTAAAGCCGTTTTAGGCAGCCTTTCTCTATCCGTCTGGATGATGGAAGGAGGATCTTAAGGCAGAAATGCAAGTGACGGACGCACCTGCCCTAGACACCTGTGCACGGTCCTATCTCCAGGTCAGGAAGGAGTGTGGCTCTCCTGGGACAACCAAGACAAGGGCCGAGGAAAAGGGAAAAGCCCAGTGCAAGTTCAAGGGGTTCTTCTAAGCAAAAGTCTCATTAAGAATGAAATCAGGAAAGAAAGGAAAAAAAGAATGAAGGCAGAGCTCAGCCAGCGTGGCTCAGGGGTTGAACATCAACCTATGAACCAGGAGGTCAGGGTTCGGTTCCCAGTCGGGGCACATGCCCGGGTTGTGGGCTCGATCCCCAGTGTGGGGTGTGCAGGAGGCAGCCGATCAATGATTCTCATCATTGATGTTTCTCCCTCTCTCTCCCTCTCCCTTCCTTTCTGAAATCAATAATATATATATATATATTTTAAAAAAAGAATGAAGTCAGAAAACCAAAATGACAATGATCTTTGATGATCTATACTGATGCGCAGAGGAGGTGGGTACCATCTGGACTGTAGTCAGAAACACACATTCACTGGCACCCCTTGTACATCTGGTCCCCCACCCCTTGGACGTGATGTCCGAATTTGAGAGTTCAGCTGCCTCTGAGTTTGCTGCGGCAAAAAAGAAAAACCCCACATGTGACTGGGAAGGGAAGACCCGGGCCTGGCCAGAAGCTGGAGTGAGGAAGGTAATGAACCGACCGTGATGAATGGCTGTGAAGTCCTATCTGGTTGGGTACCTCTCCCCCACGTCCTGTTCTAAACGCTGCCTGAACTCAGTCATCCCAGAAGGAGAGGTGAAAGCCCACCCTGCTCCTGAGTCATTTGCTCATTCAATGAGTATTTCTTGAGTGCCTACTATGTGCCCGAAGCTGTTCCAATAAAACAAAGTCCCCCCCACCCCCAAAAAAACTTGCCCTAGGAAACCTCTGCCTCTTGGAGCTTGCATTCTGCGGTGTTTGCAGATGGTGTTCCATTCCTCCAAGACCGTGGCATGTGGGGAGATGGGTGGAGGGAGAAAGCTGCCCAGGAAAACGGCGTGGAGGGGAGGTCAGAACGCTGGGGTTGAGGTAAGGGAACCCTGAAGAGCCAAGGAAATCCGAAGGCCCCGCCTGGGAGGCGCAGCGGGAAGAGGTGCCCTGGGTGGGAGGACCCCTGACTCCGAGCACTGATGGGCTCCTGGCTGGACTGGGGAGCTCAGCCTCAGGTCACAGGCCTGCAGAGGCCTCACCATTTGCTAAAGGTTTTATGCTAGAGCTCTGGGCTACCCTGTTACTGGGCCTTGCTAGAATTTTCTGGGGGACTGAGTGTGCCGCAGTTGGCATCACAGGGCTTGTCCCCCATCAGTTCTGTGTGTATGAGGTCATGCTATTTCCCCACAGCCCAGAACCCAGGGAGGGAGGAGAGCCCCCTGCCTGCCTGCCCTGCGCGTCTACTGTGGGTGGGTGGGTGCTGCCCCCTCGTGGTGCTAGGAGACCCTGCACCAGACCTCACAGCAGCTGGGGGCTGTGGTGGTGAGGAAAAGGGGCTAAAAGGCCCGGGGTGACCCCTGATTCTGGATTTCCTGTCAATCTCAGCACCTCATGCAGCTCTGGCAGCATAACTCCCAATTGGGACTCTGCCTGCTCCCTCCCCTTTCCATTCCTCCAAGACCTTGATAACTGACAGGCGTGAGCAAGACTCCGACACAATCAGGTTGGACGTTCCTAACCCTGTGTTCCCTTCCCTCCATTACCCCCGTTCCTCCACCCTGTCCCCTGGTGCTGTGGTGTCTTCGGCGGTCAGGAAGGAACATCTGTCTAGGAGCCAGTTCGGGCGGAAGTGTCAGCCACGGGCCTCCCTCACCAGGAGTGAAAGTGTGGCCAGCGACTAGGGAAACAGGGTTTGGCTCCCGAGTGACACTGAAAGGGCTTGTAAGCACCTGCAGCGTTTCTAGAACCACCAGCTCAGGCCCTGGCGCTCAGAGCTGAACGGATCCCGCCGGCGTGGGGCTCAGCTGCCTCGGGGTGACAGGAGCCATCCACTCTCTTCTTTGACTCTGCTTGTTTCGAGGGGCTCCAGGCCGAGAAGCAGGTCCCATCTGCCAAGGCAAGGTCCTGTCCATTGGTACTCACGCC